GACTCATAGCGACCCCATGAACAAAATGCCTGAAGCCCCTCTACAACCATCGACATTTATCAAAGTTCAGAGAGTTTCTTGAGGCATGTTGTTTAAGAAGTGAATGTCTCTCCTGCTTCTTATAACTTTATATTTTATATTCATTAGGTTTTCTGTAATATACGCTGTTACATTTTGTTTTCCTTCATCCTCTTGGGAGATTACTTTAGTCTGGTATTGTAATTACCTAATTAATTTTTCAGTGTATCCATTCAAGAAAACAAAATTCTTCATCACCGGGCAAATAGGCAACTTCCAGATAGATGGAGAAAAGATTGAAATTGTCAGTGTTTTCATTTAACTTGGATTCACAATCAGTACTGATGATAACAGCAGTCAAGAAATCAAAAGATATAGTGTTAGGAAAATCTGCTGTCAAGGAATTTTCTGAAGTGCTAAAGAGAAATGGTATCAGTATAAAGACTATGGTGTTCTTGTTCTGAACCATGGTCTTTTCAGTTGCTTAGAATGCACATCACAGTTGGGCAATGAATAAGAATAACAGAAGAATAATTAATACCTTTGCATTGAGGTATTGGAGATGAATACTGAATGCCCCATGACAGCTAAGACAGCAAACAAGTCACAACTAGGGTGATCCTTAGAGGCAAGGGTAGAGAAACTTTTTCAGTCATATTTTAAGTATGTTATCATGAAGAGCTAGTCCATGGAAGGAGACCTCATGCTGGGGAAGATAATGGGTCATCATAAAATAGGATGATACTTCACTGAGACATATCGACAATGAGACTGTGACAGTGGACTTGAGCATATGAGAATTCATGAGAATGGTGCCAAGTTAAGAATGTCTAATTTCGACTTATGATCTCAATGTCTTCAGATGATATTGATTACTGTTACAACAATCCATCAATCCATTTCAGTTCACAGTGTTGATGTAAGTTGTCATCCACTTGATGGCACAGAAGAGCAAGAACTCTCATTTTATACAAGAAAACCCCTCAAGGCCATTGAATCAGAACTGACTTATACGTAACAGTGAATTAATGAAAATCCAACTTTTGTGTAAACTTTTGTTAAAATCACAATTAAAATTAAATTTTTTTTAAAAGAACTGACTTATAGGTGATCATCCATAGGGTTTCTGAGGCAGTAAATCATACAGGAGATTGTCTGTTTTTCTCCCAAGGAGTCAATGATGGACTCAAACTGCCATAGAGGCATGACCTTTGTGGTAGCAGCACAACTCTCTATGGACCACGCCACTGGAGTCCTCTTTCTCTGTATTTACTCTGTAGTTAGCTCGATATCAAGTATTGTTTTTACATTCATTTCTGCTTTGCTGTTTTTATGTTTATATTTTATATTTTAAATATCTCCCACATTTCATACAGAATCCTTTGTCTCAGCTTAATAGAACTTCTGTAAGGTTACTTTTAAGAGCAGGGTTTTGTTTTTTTAATGTTGTTTATGACACTACTGAATTCTAACATGATTGGTCTACTTTTAAAAGTTATTCTTCTTAAATGTTTCCTTTCTCCTTATGAGATCTATTTCTTCAAATTGTATTAATTCTATAGCAAATAACAACATGTGATCAGATCTCAATCTATCCCAGTCCCTAAGTCCCCAGTAGTGAAAATTTGAATAAATACTACAGTGGCTGAGACATTGGAGCTATTGTTAATCACTTTTACTCCACAACACTTCTCAGCCTAGGACTTTAATTTTACTTCCAGACAGAATTGTTATTTGGTAGATCAGGATGCACTACCTTATTGGAAAGATTTTCTGGTAAATTCTTTTCTATGTCTTAAAAGCTGAGAGTTTGTCATTGTCAAGGATAATAATACTAGACTTTCATACTGTTGTACCAAATACTTTATTTTATTGAAGAGACAATCTATTTTTAAGCAAAATAGTATCTTTATCACTTGCCTATTAAAAGTGTCTACTGATCTATACAATAATGAAAGTTTTAGTCCCCAACTGCCTGATGAAAGTAGAGGAAATTTTGCTTTATAAACTATTTCAGATTTGTTTGTAAATATTAATGTTTCATTAACATTTTGCTCTTGGGTTTTTTGTGAAAAAGTCGCTCCATATTGCATGAAGGGAATTACATACTTCAAAACAGAAATCAATATTCTAGTGAAATCTAAAAAGTGAGTAGTCATTTACATAAAGTAGAGTTGTACCTATAATATAAAACTAAATGGGATATTAATCATTGAACTTTAGGGTATAAATGAGACAACAACCTATGTCAGAAGATGTGTAATATAGTTATTAGATTCATTGTCAACATTTCAAGTCCACTTGTAAAGAGTAACAAGACACTGACTGCAGTATGACTAGATAATACAGGCCCAATGAAGGACTATCGTTAGGAACACATCACTTTATTATTGCAGTCTGTGTGTGATGTTGCTTCTTTTCTTCAACATTTCTGTAGTTTGCCACTTCTGCATTGAAATCCAACCTGAATTGGAGCTCTTCAGAGGAAAGATGCCCTTTCCCGACTGCCTTCCCCCTTACTGCCATCTTTTTGTTCAGTGCACCCATTATGTTTTTCAAAAGCACAGTGGAAAGTACGATTCAGCTTGGTGATGCCTCCGCTCATAGCCAACAGGCTTTTCAGAAGTGGTCTTGGAAACTTGCTTTTTAGAACGTATGACTAAATGGCACACATCTTAAGGAGATACCTGCTTCTTGTGGATTTCATCCTAGTGGTACTTTTCTTATTCTATCCCATGTCATCTCTCCAGGTTGGGTGAACTTTGTTCCTACTTGCTGACAAGGAAATGAAGAAGGAATAAGTGCCTGGCTTAAGTAGCTCTCTTCTAAGATGCCTTTCACAACAGTCAATTGATAAAACGAAAGCTGAGGAATCCTTGTGAATAGTGAAAAGGACTAAAGTGTGGAAATAAATTGAATGCAGCCAATAATATCCTCCTCCATATGCACATAGATATGTGAATATATATCTTAATAGATTTCTACTTTATTTTAAGTGCTAGGTGGTATTTTTTTCTTTCAAAAAGATGTAATATTTACACTTAGAGTTTTAAAGGCTCATTATTCTAGAAACTTATTAGATCTTAACATTTCCTTTACTCACATTTGTTGTCAGTGAGACTTTATGGGCCAAAGAAATTAGCTTCCTTTGAACTGAAGTTTAGCGTGAGGTAGGAATATTGAGTTAGATTCCTTGTACTAATATGGCTACAGCTTTGTTGAATTACTAGTATTCTTCCTTGTCACGGAAGAGAGAAAGAAGGTACTGCTTATTCAATATTCGAATAATTTGGCAAGAAATGGAATGAAGATACTTAAAATGCAAATATGTTAAATTACCAAAACCTACATCTTAAAGTTAGCTCTCCTATAATAACACATTAATTTCAATTGATAATTATTTTAGCTTCGTTTTCCTTGGTGACCCAAACCAGCCAGCCTGTTTTAAATAATGATTGATGCAATTTTGAAATGGTTTTAAAGCATTCAGAAATATGATTCCCAAGAAGCACTTTAAGAATTGCAATGTTGCTGTAATTGGATGTCCCTAAATCGACTAGAGGCAATTGTAGTTTGAGACGACTTTTGGTTACCAGCTGGGATACTTACAATAATCTAGAACAATAAGTGCACGATGAGGAAAAAGTATGCCTTCCAGGAAGGAAAGAAACTTTCTCACTTAATTAACTGTATAAAATACTTCTTGACTCTGAGTTGCTGGTAGCATAGTGGTATTAAGGTGGCTTCCAAAGTGCCCAAATACTTAATTTGTGGTACTCAATGAACTTTGCAGTGTTGCTAATGTGTACATTGATTTCCCCCCCACCAAATGATATTTTTAATTGCATTAATTTATTGCAAGGTCCTATGCTGGATCAAACTTTCATCACTTTGTAAATATTCATCAGAATTTTCCTTCACGTGGTAGCTTTTTGCTGAAATACAAATAACGTTGTTCAATATATCTAATGTACAAGCACTCCATAATGTATTTAAAACAGTTGATGCATATTCGACTCTTTTTAAATATCAAAGTGCTACATAGTACATATTATAATTAATGAAGTGGCATATTTAAAATGGAAAATTATAATGACAAAAAAACCACTGCATACTGAAGATGTAATTGTTCTTTTCTTTCTTTTCCTCTGAAGTTATCTGGAAGTATTTTGGATGTATATAACGGGGAGCAGGGAATTTCACCAGCTAATATGGGACTTACGAGTGCTTCTTGTCCAAGTACTTTACCAATGAAAAGAGAAATTACAGGTAATGTTGCCGTTAAAGTTTTCAACAAAAATGTTTTATACATTTAAAAAATAATCCCCTCCATAAGATATGAATGATGATTTATGATTAAGACATTATACTGTTATATAGTATCAAAATGGTCGCTTAAAATGGGAATTATTTAGCAAAAAAAGTCAATCTTTTTCCCCCCTATGACAATCAAACAGCAAATTAATATGACTTATAGCTTACCTGAATTTACTATTTATACACTTAGACTTATGTCGTAATGAACACATGGAAATATGATGTCTTGGTGAGTGAGTGGGTTTTGAGATTATAATAATTTTAAGACTTGTTAGGGAATCGGTCCTCAGAAGCTAGTAGGTAAGTTCTGGTTCAAGGTCATCATGAGGCTGCAGCAAGGCTGTCAGCCAGAGAGATTGTCTTCTGATGGCTTCACTCAGTTTGTAGGATGTCAGGTGGATTAATCATCCTGCAAATTAGTCTTTGTTCTTGGCAAGCAGCCTTAGTTCCCTAACTTGCAGACGTTTTCAGAGGGCTCTTTCAGAGTCCTCACGACATGACAACTATCAATTCAAGAACCACAGAGAAGAAGCTGGCATGGCTTAACCTTAGAAACCACATTCACTTCCAAAATACACTATTGGTTTCACAGGCTCTCCATCTTCTAATTAGGAGGGAACTACTAATAAAGTGAATATAATGAGGCAAGAATCATTGTGGACCATCGTAGAGGTTCACTATATCTATAGTTTGTGTGGCTGTTATGAGTCAGACTAGAAGGACAGCTAACAAAAACAACAGATAAATACTGAAAACCTCATAGTGCATAGACTGAAATATAATGTGGTAAAAAATAGTAGTAAGTTGGCTCATTGATATATGATGACTTTTGGCTCTAAACTAAACACTGCTTAACAACAACTCTTCATGTGTCACAAACTACATTCTAAATTTAGAGATGTAGAAAATTAAGGAATCTGAAGAATTTACACAGAAATTGCTTCTTAATGAATCTCAAAAGTCTGAAAATCATTTGTTACAAGCAGTTTAGTATTGACTGATTTTTGTGTGACTGCCAAGAAGACAAACAGGTTAGTCCAGGAGAGGGTGAACCTGGTGGCTTCTTGGAGGCAAGGGTTTTGAAATTCCGACTCATATACTTTGGGCATGTGGTTAGGAGGGATCGGTCCTTGGGAAGGATATCATGTTTGGAAGGATAGAGGGTCAGTGTAGAAGAGGCAGACCCTGAATGAGATGGATTGACACAGTGACTGTGGCAGTGGGGTCAGGTGTGTGAGGGACGGGGAGAATGGCTCAGAATAGTGTGAGTCTCAGAGCTGTTCTTCTTACGGTTCCTGTGAATCATAGTCTACTTAACAGCAATATGTATCATTTAATTATCACAAAATTCCATTTTTTCCATTTACAAATGAAGGTGGTTTTATTTTTTAGAAGATAAAGTCAATGGCTTGCTTATTTATTTTTTTCCTGGTTATAATAGCTTATATCTATTATTTATAAGAAGAAACTTATCTTTAAAACCTCACCAGCAAATTTAGTACATTTAAACACCAGTACATTTAAACATTTAAAAACTCTAGTAGAAGTCAGACTATGCCAAACTTTAATTATGTAGAGTCCCATGAATTGTCATGCGTAAACAAATGAAGGGTCTTTGTATCAAAGAAGTCAAGTTATAGATTCCAAGGCTAGTGAATGGCAGGCCAGAACACAAATCGAGCTGTTACAGCCTACAGAGTTTAAAGACTTTTCCACTGCTTCTTACTGAAAAGTATTCTCTCCCAAACTGTCAACTATGTGTGTAGAAAAATTAAAATATTTTAGAATAAGTAAACTAAAGAAATCTTTACTATAGAACATGTTGAGTAAGATGGGAATTGAAAGTAGAATTAGATTATTTTTTTTAAAAAAAGGTTTTAATGTTTTTCATTGTTGCACAATTTTTTCTCCCACCCTCCCCCTCTTCCAACACCTCCTCACAATTTACCTCTTGTTCCATACTGTTGTCGTACATAAAATACTTGTAAATATATCTCTGACAGTTCTTCTCCTCTTTTGCTCTTATGTCATTTTCTGTCCACTCTTCCCTTTCCCTCCCCAACTCCCCCATATCTATCCTATTTTATAACAGTGGAGTTATGCAGTATTTGTCCTTTTGTGACTGAGATATTTCACTCAACACAATGTCCTCCTGGCTCCCCTATGTTGTGTAATGTTTGACAAATTCATTGTTTTTCAATGCTCCCTAACATTCCATTGTGTGAATATACCATAGTATTTCTATGCATTCATTTGTTGATGGGCATTTGGGTTGCTTCCAATCCCTTTGATACTGTGAATAACACAGCAATAAACATGGATGTGCATACATCTCTTTGAATGGTGGCTCTGCTTTCTTTAAAAAAGGTATATTCCCAGTAGTGAATTGCTAGGTCAAATGGCATTTCTATTTCAACTTTTTGAGAAAGCACCAGACCACCCTCCATAATGGCTATACCATTGTACACTCCCACTAGCAATGAATAAGAATTCCAGGTCTCTCCACAACTTTTTTGTTGTCTCCACAACCAGCTTTTCTTGTTTGGTGGCCTGTTTGACTTTGCTACTGTTGTTGGGAATAATATGATTTCAGTTCTTTCCCTTTTGACCAGAAACAGATACTCGAGCTTTGGCGAAAGAGAGGCAAAAAAAGGACAACCACAATCTTAGTAAGTATGCATACTTCTTCCCAAACAAATAAATGTGTACAATGGGGACAGTGAGGAGCTTCAAAACCTGCCATCTTTCTGTCCATCTATGAATGTTTTGAGGTCAAATGCGCAAACACTAATTGTACTTACGATAGTGTATTGACCTACTTTGGGCTATTTGATCACTGCAAACTGTCAGAAGGATTCTACGTAGTTTAATGAAGTGTCTCATTTTCTCTTCTATCTCACTCTTTTTTCAACTGTCTGTGAAGGAGATGAGTGCATTTGGATACTTTTGAACTCTCTTGTGACTCATGGACTCCAAGGTATAAAGTGATAAGAAGGACTTCAGAAAACATACTTTAAATAGCAAGATAGATAACTGTCCACTATTTTTCTTTATCTGCCTGTTCCTCCCATGTAAATGGTGTGTTTTTGAAAGGCATTACTTATTCTAGACTGCTTAGATCCACCTCTGAAGAAACAATAACTCTAGTAGCTTCCTGGTGGTCACTTTAACTCTGGTAATTGGTCATTCGAGGTGGAAGAATGCAGTTAAGGGAAGCAGATGAGGTTAAGGCTGATCTGGGAAGTGCTCTACGTCTCCACTGCTTCACTATGTTGAGTGAGATACCTTGATTAGGTGTAAAGTCTGCTTTTTCTGAAGTTGAAAGCATAAGCTGGGAAAGGACTAATATAAAAGAAAAATGTTACAGGCCTACAACAAAGCATCTTTCCTTACATGTGATTAGCTTGAAGTGATTTCACACTAACCTAATTGTGATGTTGGAAAAGAGTATTGAATATCACATGAACTGCCAAACAAATGTACAAATCTGGCTTGAAGCCACTGCAATGAGGGAACTCCGTAGAGGCAAGACTGGGAAATTTCCTCTCACTTTCTTTGGGCATGTTGCCAGGAAGGGGCCAGTCCCTGGAAAAAGTCATCTTACTGGGAAAGATGGAGGGTCAAAGGGGGAAAAAGAAGACTCACAAGAAGGTGGACACAGTGACTGAAACGATGGGCTCCAGTATGTCAGAGATGGTGGTGCAGATGGTCCAGGATAGGGCTGTTCCTAGGTTCAATTTGAGTCTAGCTAATTTGATGGCACCTGACAACAAACAACAACGATCTTTACACAATGGGGAGCTCTGGTGGCATAGACTGGAGGAGTTACACTGCTAACTCACTGCTATGTTTCTGGTTGTTTGAATCCACTAGCCTCTCCTCAAGACAAAGAAAATGCGTCTGGTCTGTTATCACTTGGACCCAACTCAACAGCAATGAGGAAGAGAGAGGTGAAGAGAGATAGAAAGCTAGAGCTAGAGGAGAGAGAGAGAGAGAGAAAGAGAGAGAGAGAGAGAGAGAGACTGACTGAGACTCTTTAAAGAAGCAGATGGATTCATTTTCTCCCATGAAGATTAGACTGTAGTGTGTTAAATAAGAAATTCTGAACATTGTTACAACATGCTTTTATAAGCCTTTTGAGGTATGATTATTGCTGACCAATGCTTGAAAACTATTGCTCTGATAACATTCAGAATGTAAAACTAGTAAAATATATTTGTAATTTAATCAACATGCAATTATTTAGCACTTCTTATATGTGGAGTCCACATATATGATCTCGAACCTTTTCCATCTGAATTTCAAAGTCATCTTAAGAATAGGTTTGAAGCATTGAATACCAATGATAGAAGACCAAAGGAGTTGTGGGATGATGTCAAGTACAGCATTCATGAAGAACGTAAAAGGTCATTATGAAGACAGAGAAAGAAAAAAAGAAATGGACGTCAGAAGAAACTCTAAAAATTGCACTAGAAGCCAAAACAAAGAGAAAATGTGCTGAAGTGAAAGAGTTGAATGGAAGATTTCAAAGAGCAGCTCAAGAAGACAATGCATATTATAATGGAATGTGCAAAGTTGGAATTAGAGAATAAAAAGGGAAGAACTCACTCATTATTTCTTAGGCTGAAAGAACTGAAAAAATACAAGCCTCAACTCCCAATATTAAAAGATGCTATGAGTAATATATTGGGTGAGTCAGAAAGTATCATAAGAATATGGGGAGAATACACAGAATCACTATACCAAAAAGAACTGATTGACACTGAAAAATTTCAAAAAGTATCATACAAGCAGGGGCCAGTGGTAATGAAGGAGAAAGTGGAAGCTGTATTGAAGGCATTGGGGGTGGGGAAAGCCTCAGGAATTGATGAGATACCAACTGACTTGTTTCAGTTAATATATGCAGCCCTGGATATGCTCACCAGTCTCTGCCAGGAAATTTGAAGAACAGCTGTTTGGCCAGTAGATTGGAAGAGGTCCATATTTGTTCCCATTCCCAAGAAAGGTGATCAACAGAATGTAGAAGCTAGCAAACAATATCATTAATATCACATGCAGGCAAAACACTGCTGAAGATCATTTAGAAATGGCAAGAACAGCACACCGACAGGGAACTTCCAGAAGTTCAAGCAGGATTTAGAAGAGGCCATGGTACCAGGGATATCATTGCTGACATCAGATGGATCCTAGTTGAAGGTAGAGAATACTAGAAGCATGCTTCTGATACCAGCAGTCATGATCATAGGGAGACTCACCCATAACATGCATCAGGCAGATGACACAGCCATGTTTGCTGAAAGTGAGGAAGACTTGATGCATTTGTTGTAGAAGATCAAAGAATAATGCCTTCAAGATGGATTGCATCTCAAAGTCAAGAAAACGAAGATTCTTACCATTAGACCAGTAGGCAGCATCATGATAGATGAAGAAAAGATTGAATCTGTCAACAAGTTCTTACTTGGCTCCACAATTAACTCCCTTGATTTTTAGCAGTCAGGAAATTAGGAGACTTACTGCACTGAGAAAGTATGCATCTAGGGACTTCTCCAAATTATTGAAGAGTGATGATGTCAGTTTGAGGACTTCCATGCATCTAATTCAGACCATGGTCTTTCCAATCTGTTGCTATGCATTGGAAAGCTGGTCAATGAATAAGGATGACAGAAGAATTGACACTTTTGAGCTGTGGTATTGGAGAAGAGCACTGAATGGACAGCCAAAGAATAAACAAATATGTCTTGGAGAGGGTGCAACCAGAGTTCTCTTTGGAGTTAGAGGTGCTGAGGATTTGCCTCACATACATTGGACGTGTTGCTAGGAGGTGCTAGTGCTTGGAGAGGGACATGATGCTTCGAAAAATAGAGGGTCAGTGAAAAAGATGAATTGACACAGTGAATTAACACAGATGGCACAGGATAGGACAAAGATTACATCTACTGTTCACAGGATTGCTTTCAACTCGATGGCACCTAACAAGAACAATATATGTGGAGTTCTGGGTGGTGTGAATGGTTAGGTGTTCAACTACACAGGAAATTGGCAATTTGAATTCAGCCAGAAGAAGGAAAGCCTAGCAAACTCAAAGTCCTGTGGAGTGCAATTCTATTCTGTGACAAGGAGTCGTCATGAGTCAGGATTGACTACAGGACAATGGTTTTGGGCTTTTCCCCACTGTGTGTCAAAGACAGATATTATACAAGAATACAAAAGTGAGCAAGACCATAGATCCTTTCATCAGGGCCAGTGTAGGACAGCACAGGTATTATTACGCGCTGTTCCATATGTTAAAACTTCAGAGGAGATTATGAGCAGAGTAAAAGCAAGGTGTGTGACCTTAAGAGATTACAGTCGTAATAGATTAAAAAAATGTCCGTATGTGAAGTGGAGGAAATGGGATAAACCCCGATGTACTATCTTGTGGTAAAAATACGTTTCAGAGAATGACCAAAATATGTTTCAAAACCAAAATAATGCTTTTAAGACATTCTGAATAATTTCGTTTTAATCTTAATATTGTGATTTTTCATTTCATTTCTTGTTGAAGAGTGCTAATTTTTGACTGAATGGAGTTTTTTGTCCACTGTATTTTAAAATTATTAAGAGTGTTGACAGCTGACCAAAAGCGACTATGCTTTTAATGAGAATAATCAATAATATTTCTTTTTTAATAGTTGAAAGAAGAAGAAGGTATAATATTAATTACCGAATTAAGGAGCTTGGCACTCTTATTCCAAGGTCTAATGATCCGTGAGTTCAACAATCATTTCTATAATAATGTTGTGGTTTCAGTACTTGCCCCTTGTCCACCCCATCCCCCACCATGGATGGGAGGGAAAGAGGAGGGGTGGAACCAATTACTGGAAAACCAAGTGGTTTATGTCAAAGATAAGGCTACTGCTGGTCATATTTTTTTTTAATAATAGAATGTATCCCAGGCTTCATGACTGTTACTAAGAATTGTCTTTTTGAGCGCTATAGAAAATAAGTGACTTAGTCCATCTCAATTCATTGTATCATTCTATATGGCAGCAATATTGACACATTTAGTGAGCGTGCCAAATACTGTATAGAATACTGACATATGTGTGATATGATACTAACAACTATAATTATTTTTTATTAGAGAAGTTATTCTGAATTAAGACATGTGTGTGAAAGTTGAATTGTATCATTTTCAGAAGTCTTCCATAATAAAAAAAAAATCATAAAAGCATGCACAAAGAATTCTAAAAATATTCTGGTTAGCACCAACCTCGAAATGGACTGTTGTAAGTCAATTTGCAACTAGGTTTTGGTATCATGTAGATACAAACTCACTAAACAATAGCTTCGAGGACAGAAATCTCCTAAAGTATTTGAATAATTGTGTTATCATCCAAGTTTGTTTAATGTTTTTTAAAAATGTAAAACATGATATACAGAATTAATAATAATTTTAAGGAGTTTTCATTCACACTGCCAACTGGAATCTCTTATTTAGGAATGATGATATTTGCGATATTTTGAGGTCTGAAGGATTCAAATTTGCTCATTCATTGGATCGAATCTATTGTTAATTACATTTTCCCATGAATACACAATCATACTAGTAGAAATAAAGTGCCATTAGGTCATGAGTTGTTCTGCTGAAACTATCAAATTATTTTTTCATACATTTTTCCAATTTAGAAAATAGTTTGCCATAACTCTTAAGATAAATTCATATTTTTTCTTACTCTCCAGTTAAAACCTCTCTTGGCTTTTGAGTCAGAATGAGAGTTGAGATAGCAAATGATACGTAACAAGACTTTATGCATCTAGAGCTACAAAGTGTTGACCTAAGTAAAAAGAACAAAGCCTCTTGTGATTTTTTTCCCTTTTTCTACCTTTTCCCCCCAATGCTTTTAATTGAGATGTGTGCTCCTAAACTGATAGCAGATTGCACATCTTTTCATATTCTTACCTCACAGTACTGTTGTACCAATTCATACCTTCTTTATTTTCTTTGATTCTAGATGAACTCTAGCTTTTAACCCCCTAAATGTTATCAGTCTTCAAAGAATATTATTTTGAAGAATTAAGTCAATTTCATTACAAATATTCCTTCCTTAGTCATCTCTTGGTTTCTATAGTGAGGAATATAAGAGACTATCACATGCAATGTCTTTATTGCCTCCCCATTGCCATGGACTTGATTTTGACTCACAGTGTCCCTGTGGAACACAGTTTACCTGCCCATGGAGTTTCCTGTTCTCTTACAGGGTAAATATTTGCAAAAGCAAACAGACACTTCTTTTTTTTTTTTTTTTTTTCTCCTGTGGAGCAGCTGATGGGTTCAAGCCCCTAAACTTTTGATTGACTTCTGAGGACTTAACTACTGAATCACCAAAACTTCTCCTTAATGTTCAGCTGCTTGAGATTTTTTAGGGTAGAAGCACAAACATTTCCTTAATATAGTTATAAAATGTAAACTATTTTTAAAAGAAACTTTATAAATGGCTTTCAAATACAAAGGAAGAGGAACAGTTGTAAGCAGACACTGGTGATTGGGGCATGGAATGTGAGAACCATGAATGTAGGAAAATTAGATATTGTTAAGAAAGAAATGGAACGCATAAATATTGACATACTAGGCATTGGTGAGATGAGATGGACTGGCATGGGGCATTTTGAGTCGGATGACCATATGATATATCAGATGGAATGAACTTTTAGAAATTTAATATAAATGGTATCAGATGCTATTGAAGAAAATCCTTTAAGTGCTCACCACTCTCATTCTGATGTTGTTTTGTATCTAAATAGACAAACATTTAAACTTCAAAGTTGGCTAGAGCTGTTGTTTTTTATCTTGTAATCTCTATCCTTCAAGATTTTCTTTAAGTAAGCAGAAAGTAAACAGTATTAAGGGACATAAATCCACTTTCACACACAGTTTTGGTTTGGGAATCCATTGCACTTTTCAAGGATACCACCTTCTTTTAATGATTAAGGTCATCCCTGACCTGCTTACCAATGGGTCTATCATGATGAGTATAATGATAGCAACATCTATTATGACCTTAGAGAAGTGATGAGACATTTTCAAAATTGAAGCAGATACAGGTGCTTGTTTGATCTGTGTCAGTAGAAGTCAGCTTGCCCAATCCTTAATAAACATTTTAATCTCAAAAGAAAAGCAAGCATGTCTTTCTCTCATTTGTTATTGTTAATGACATTGTCACCTAACCTGAGTTTCCAATGAGGTACGTACAAATCATCTCTTTCATAAACTGCATTTCCCCACTTTTAATCACACAATTAATACATGTTAAATCCAACATATGTCACAAAAATTTATTCAAATGAAAAATTGTTTTTCACAAATTTTCCAACATGCTTACTTTATGCAGTATGGAAAATATCTTCTGATTCTAAGTTGAAAATCTATCAAGTTTTCTAACAGCTGTAATTAATTTTTGACAGTTTTGCCTTGTTCTTTATACATATTACCAATTCTCTTATAGTATACATTCATCAATCATTATTTTCAGGTGTTACAATTCATACTTGAGATTATCTATTTGATAATTTCACATCCATCATTTCTCCTGTCTTAACATTTTTAAAAATATAGTATCTTGTGTTACATCCTGAAAGGTTTCTGGTAATGCTTAAATCCACTTATCTACTGTGCAAATGCATTTAAAAATAAGTGTCTACCTTTTAAAGAAGCATTGATGCTTTTTATGTGGAAAGATTTCTTGAACAATTTTAAAAAGTTTTACGCTATTGCGTTAAATAATGTTGCTACCCTCTGATTTGTTTCACAATCACCCAGATTCACTATTTAGGAAAGATCTTAATTTTTTTTTCCTTAGAAGCATAAAAGCAACCTTATTAGAAAGTGGGTTAAAAGATTGGTACATCTGAAATGATCTTAAAAAATTTAGGCTTAAGTCTTCAGTAATGTACATTTCCTAGTTCATTAATGCAGAAATACTGCACATAGATTTTAATCTCGGAGTTAATAATAAAAGCAATTTTCACTAAAAATATAAAAACTGTAATGGTAGAATCATGATATTGCATTTAGCTCTCCCACAAAAAGTCACTTTATTACTTTCTTTTGACACTTATTTTCATTCTGGGATTAATTTTACTATATAAGGGCTTCTTAACTATTCTATTAAAATTTCTATTCAGAAGCAATAATATCTAAGAGTGAATAATAGTCATGTAAATCATTATTTCATATTAATGTAAAAGATTTTGTAAGTTCTTATGAATTCTGCTGACATGCACAATTGTGAAAAGGTTATCTCCCCGTTCTGCAGTGATATGCGCTGGAACAAAGGGACCATTCTAAAAGCATCCGTGGAGTACGTCAAGTGGCTACAAAAAGAACAACAGAGAGCTCGAGAATTAGAACACAGACAGAGGAAATTAGAGCAAGCTAACAGGCGCCTTCTCCTTCGGATTCAGGTTTTTATACAACCGCTACCAGGAACCGTGTGGCTTACGTGTGACTTACCCATCATTATTTTAATCCATTGGTCTCATTTATTTTTCTTTTCTAACAATGATGGTTTCTCCTGAAGGACAAGTTTTATTGCCTTTTACTAGTGCATACATGGGATTGTTTCAGTTATGTGTTGATTAGAACTCCGGGGTCAAATGACTTAAGAAAAATGAATGCCAACTAATTACCAAGTGTAGAAAACAGGCTTCATCTGATGTATGCACGCAGTGGCACGTCAGCCAAAAAAAAAAAAAAATGCTAAGTAGAACGTTTGTTTCTCCAGATAATATTGGACACTAAATTCTCCTTTCCTCTTTTATTTGTATGGTGATATTGCTATGAATTGTGTTGCCTCAAGGCATTTTGTGCCAGTTTATATTAAGTCACTCCTCATCTGTTCATGTGACCAAAAAAAATATCAAAATATGGTTTTCATAATCCCCAAGTTATTTTTAATGTGAGCATAATTATTGCCAGGTAAAGTACTTCCTATCTTTTCATGAAATAGGCCTGAATGATAGCCAGAAAGGAATCAGAAGGAATAAGTAGAAGATTCTACCACTCTCTACTAATGGCTGCATTGTAGCCCAAGGCACTATGGGACCATTATTTTATGTACTGCATGATTCTCCAAAGAACAATAGGAGAAACTTTTTTTCCCCAAAAAAACAATTTATACTTTTCTAAAGATTATCTTTCAGGTATTACAAATACACCAGGCTGCGTTTTGTAAAACTTCTTATAATATGTATTTGCTCCTATTTCTGTGTGTCATTTTCCAGACTATTTCACTCTCCAAAGCATTAATTATTCTTTTCTGTTGGACTCTACAGGAGCTAGAAATCCAGGCCCGTGCGCACGGTTTGCCAACCCTGGCTTCTCTCGGCACAGTTGACTTGGGTGCTCCGGTCCCCAAACTGCAGACTCATCCTGAGCAGAATCCAGGAGACTACTGCCAGCAACTGCCCCTGGTTCATGGACCAAGCCCTGAGCTCTGTGATCAAACCATGGCCTTCTCGGATCCTTTGTCACACTTCACTGATTTATCATTTAGTGCCTCTTTGAAAGAGGAACAAAGATTGGATGTTATGTTGCTGGATGACACAATATCCCCATTTGGAACAGATCCTCTGCTGTCTGCCACTTCCCCTGCAGTTTCCAAAGAGAGCAGCAGAAGTAGTTGTAGTTCAGATGATGGTGACAGGTTATAAAGAAGAAACTTACTCTACAGTTTTCTAGGAAACAATTCAATACTGGTGCTATGCAATCGTGTTTTGCATTTGCTATAGATCTTTGGCTTTTCCCTCTGAAAGGAGTATGTTGTTATAAAACAAACAAACAAACAAACCACACCAGACTTATTTGAAGCAACAGAGGAATCCATAGGAAGAAGCAACATGCTGTTGAAGAATCATTGAGAGCCAACAAAGTGTTTTTCTTCTTTTTTTACTAAGGAGTCTAAATTTACCTCATGTTGTCTTCCTGGAAAGAGTTTGTCATGACTATAACAACTTGGTGGCATTTTAAAAGTAGAAACCCTGTCATGCTTTATTGGAACTGATTCTAGAGTAAATTTGCTCTAATATGCGACCTTTTCCTTTGGTGGCATGGTCCACAGGGGTTGTTTTGCTAACCCAAGGACAGGTGTCTTTGAATGGTTTGAATGCAGCTCTTTCTGGTGGGGCAATCTTATCCCATGCAATTTACAGCCTCCTGAAAACCAGCTAGAATATCAGCTATGAGTCAGTTCTGACTTGATTGCATTGAGTTTGAATTTTTTGAGTTTTCTTCTTCTCTGTTCAGTTCTTCAGTATCAGTTTGATAAGACTCAAGATGCATTGATCTGGTAGTTCCTTATCTGTTTCCTCTTTTGTTGTGTGTGTTACTTAACATTTAAACTTTATTTTTTGCTGTTATCGTTAGGTGCCATCCAGTCAACTCCAACCCCTATTGACCCAATGAACAACAGAATGAACCCTCATCATCGCCTGTGCCATTCTCATAATCTCTGTCATTCTCTTAATCACTGTCACACACAAACCCCTTAGTCAGTATCCATTTATCTCATTTAGGATCTTTCTCAGAATTACAAAATAAATATCTGTCACTTTTAATTGAAAATTGAGGATAAATTAGAAATTAGGATTTTCTATAATGAAATTTAGAAAATTAAAAAAAAAATTGGGTGCTAAAATTAGATCTGCCTGCTACCTGGCCAACCAACTGAAAGTGATCCATATTTGTTCCCATTTTGAATGAGGTGATCCAATAGAGTGCAAAAATTATTAAACAGTATCTTAGTATCAAATATAAATAAAATCATGCTGAAGATTATTTAAAAACATCAGCAAGGAATTGCCAGATATTTAAGCTTGATTAAGAAGAGTCCATTGCCAGGAATACCATGGCTGATGTCAGATAGACCTTAACTGAAAGCAGAGATTGCAAGAAATATACTTATGTGTGTTTTAAAAAAATTGAATATGAAAAGGCATCTGGCCAATAACCAATTATGAATAATATCAAGAAGCGTGAGAATCCCAGAACACTTAATTGTTATCATTCAAAATCTGTTCCTAAACCAGGAAGCAGTTGTCCAAACAGAACACAGGAACACTATGTGGTTTAAAATCAGAAAGGGCTTGTGTCAGGGCCATACCTAATCAATTTATATAATGAGCACATCACTCAATAAGATAGACTGGATGAAGAAAAATATATCAGGATTTGAGGAAGACTAACAATCTGAACTATGTAAATGATAAAAATTTCCTTGCAGAAAGTAAAGAAGACTTGAAGCACTTACTGTAGAACACCAAAGATTGTTGCTGTTGTGTACCATAGAGTCAGAATGAACCCACAGCTGACCCCCCAGCCAGTTTTCATAGGCAGTTAATTGCATGGGAGTAGATTGCCCATCCTTCTCCCATGTAGCAGCTAGTGACCTCAAACCGTGTGCCTTTGGATTGCAGTGCACCTTCTTGCCACTAGGCCATTAACTTTCAAATTAAGAAAAAAATCTCAACATAAGAACACAAAAATCCTCACCACTGTGCTCATGTATACATGATAGATGCCTCAAAGATTGAAGTTGTCAATGAAATAATTTTATTGGCTCCACAATCAACATTTGTGAGAGTTGTTACTGTTGTTGTTATGTGCTGTCAAGTCACCTGCAACTCATAGTGATCCTATACAACAGCCCTAATCCCCGCTCTAACATCACTGTCTCTGACACACCTACCCCCATTACCCCAGTCACTGAGTCAATCCTTCTATTAGAGGATCTTCCTCTCCTGTGCTGTCCCTACACCCTCCCAAGCATGTTGTCCCTCTCTAAGGACTGATCCCTCCTTGCAACATGTCCAAAGTATGTCAGATGAAACTTCAGAATCCTTGCCTCCAAGGAACATCCTAGTTTTACTCTCTTTAGGATGAGCCTGTAACTTTTCTTAGCAGTCCATGGTGTATTCAACACTCTTCTTCAACACCACAGCTCAAAGGCATCAATTATTCTTCCATCATCTGTAGTTATTTTCCAGCTCTCTAATGCATAGCAAGTGATCACAAAGACTATGGCACACCTTAGTCTCCAGAATGACATCATTGTTCTTCAGTACTTAGGTCTCTGACAGCAGACTTTCCCACTGCAATATGTCTTTTAATTTCTTGGCTGCTGATGCCAAGAGTGTTGATTGTGGAGCCAAGCAAACTAAAGCTGTGTTAACAATTTCAATCTCTTCACCATCTATTGTGATGCTGCCAGTTGGGCCAGAGGTGAAAATCTTTGGGTTGTTTTTTTTCTTATTTTGAGCCTCATTCCATATTGAAGCTCCATGAGAGGAGCAGTCAGGAAAGCAAAAAGCATGGTGCATTGAGAAAATATGTTCTTAAGGCACTCTTTAAGGTGCAAAGATTTCACTTTAAAGAGTAAGGTGTGCATGATCCAAGCCATGGTGTATTCACTTGCTTCCTATGCATCTAAAAGCTATAAAATGAGCAAATAAGATGAAAGAATTGATGCCCTGATGTGGCGTTGGTGAAGATTTTCAAGTACACCCTGGATTGTCAAAAGAAGAAACAAATCTGTGTCAGAGGAGATGCGTCCAGACTATCCCTTAGAGACAAGGATAGTGAAATTTTGTCTCACGCGTTGGTCATGTTGTCAGGAAGAGACTGTACTTAGAGGAAGACTCCATGCTGGGAAAGACAGAGGATCAGTGAAAGAGAGGAAGACCCTCAGGAGGAGGGACCATGAGGCAGGATTGGCCAATGCTCAGGTCTGTATTTCAGAGGGTCGCCATGAGTCAAAGTAGACTGGATGGCACCCAATAGCCACAAAATTAGATCATAATTAAAGGTGCTAAATTTCATTACTCAGTTGAAATACAATAATTTTTTTCTATTTCTGGAGATATGCTCATATCCAGAGGAAGGAACTTATTGACTGTTTTCTTCCTTGTAACTAGATTTATAATGCGTGCTTACACATACATGTAAATGTAAGTGGTACTTATTCTTCCCTACCCTCAATGTATTGGGTTTTCTAACATCAGAAATCACACTCCAAATCCTCTTACCTTCATGAAGAAGAGATGTTGGATGGTCACCTTCAGTTAACAAATAGGAAAAAGTATTCTTTGAAAACAATTTGTTTTCATAAATTTATCACCAACCTTAATATTGGCTATCAGTTAAATAATTGTTGGGATCAACATACACAATTTTTCTTCAAATTGACAAAATATTGAAAATTAGATTTCCAACTGACAAGAGAATTAGTAGAACATGGGATTATTTCTTGTGTTTAGTAGTTTCGAAAGATGGATAAAGTTCAATTCCCATAAATGCAATACTTCGTGCTGTTAGTGTATAATACACACAAGTGCATCTATGAGTATACTCTCCAATTTGTTATCTCTTGAGCTTGTTTTAGGTTTGGAGCTTCGCAAGTGGTCAACTGATAGGAGCTTTTGTTGTGTGACTTCTAGACTCTGCAGTGAGTCAAGAGAAAATGTGGACCAGAGAAGTAAGACAGTCTTTCTCAGGGAGTTAACAAGATGTGCATATGAAACCACAGCAAAGGATACAAGACATATACGTTTAAGGTTTAACTGATTCAACCTAAATTGGAAAGAAAGTAGTTTACAAAAAAAAAAAAAAAGAAAGAAAGTGAAAGTTGGAGAGTGACAAAGTTTGTAAGGAAGTAAAGAAATTTACCCTTTCTTTTAGAAACTAAGTTGAATAAAGAGGAAGGACTGTAGGGAAATAATACACATGAAATTAAAGCTGATGTTAGTCAAGAGAAGATTCTTTATGGGATAATCATTAAAAAGATCTGCCCACTTAAGAAGATAGCGGCAAGTTGGAACACCATACTGGCAATAGGAAGTAGAGGACCTTGAAAACTAGGTTAATGTGATTCAGTAAAAAGCACATTTTTTTTTTAACCAAGAGAGTACAAATTTAAAATGCCATCAGGTTGACTGAAACATTATCTTTTATATACATGAAACTTCAGCATACATTTGTGAAAGGAAGTTATAAGTACTGCTCCCATGGAAAATATGTCGCCTTCAAAGCAAAGCGTAATGACAAAAGTGGGGAAATATTAATCCTTACAGTGTGATGATTAAACCAGTTCTGGGAAAAAGGTCTGGTGACTTCTTTCAAATGATCACAGCGATTACAAACTCTATAAAGAATGTATTTCTGCTCTGACACGTGGGGTGGCTGGGAGTTGAAACTGACTTGGTGGTAGCTGGGTTTTGGTTTTAGCTTACATCATTACCTCTGATTTCAGAGAGTTAAATACTTTTCACTGCTTGACTTGGGAAAACGTGCCTAATTTTCAAGATAGCTATTGAGGTCAGATAGATAAAATTATTTATGTACTGTGTAAGAGAGCAGTATGACTTTCTCAGTAATTTCAAAAGGACATTATATGCATAATCTTAGCTTTATAAGAAAATGTTATTTTATTATCTGAGTTGCTAGTTTTTTGTTGTAATTTACAAAGGAGGCGATTTCTGGGTCCATGAAAAACAGGCTGATTTTTAAGCTAATTTCAGTTTTGACCATTTATTCTCATATCTTACATTTTGAGGTGGGTTGTCTAAATGATAGGAGTTTTAAGATAAAAAATAGTCACAGGCAACTGAAATAGATTTTATAAAATCATTAGATAACAGTTGTTAATTTTTAAATGGAA